AGTCGTAGTCGTAGTCGTAGTCGTAGTCGTAGTCGTATCGTAGTCGTAGTCGTAGTCGTAGTCGTAGTCGTAGTCGTAGTCGTAGTCGTAGTCGTAGTCGTAGTCGTAGTCGTAGTAGTAGTAGTAGTAGTAGTAGTAGTAGTAGTAGTAGTAGTAGTATGTAGTAGTAGTAGTAGTAGTAGTAGTAGTAGTAGTAGTAGTAGTAGTAGTAGTAGTAGTAGTAGTAGTAGTAGTAGTAGTAGTAGTAAAGTAGTAGTAGTAGTAGTAGTAGTAGTAGTAGTAGTAGTAGTAGTAGTAGTAGTAGTAGTAGTAGTAGTAGTCGTAGTCGTAGTCGTAGTCGTAGTAGTAGTAGTAGTAGTAGTCGTCGTAGTAGTAGTCGTAGTAGTAGTAGTAGTAGTAGCAGTAGTAGTAGTAGTAGTAGTCGTAGTAGTAGTAGTCGTCGTAGTAGTAGTAGTAGTAGTAGTAGTAGTCGTAGCAGTAGTAGTAGGAGGAGGAGGAGTAGTGTTTTTGAAGGGGCTGTTGTGTTCTAGACGTGTATCGAGGAGGCTATTTGGGAGCTCTCGGGGTTCGTGGGCAGTTGGAGGCCCCTCCGACCCCTCTCTCATTGTAGCTCCTCTCCAATTGTGATTTCCTGTGCGGCTCCTTTCTGACCCCATTTGTTTAGCCCGTGGCTACCCTTTCTTGCCCTCCCCTCGTGGCTTCCTCCCGCGCCCTCTTGCCTGACCGGCCGTATCCAGTTCGGTCCCGTGGCGACCTTCGCGCGCTGAGTGTCAAAAGAACGTTGCGAGCAGCGCGGATGAGCTGTATGGTAGGGGCAGCTGCTGTCAAGAAAGGGCGGGGGTAATGCCAGAGAGAGCGCGGTGGCACTGAGGATTGGATAGAGAATGGAGTCTGGTGAGGAGGTGAATGGTAGAAGGAGGAAGGCAGTCCAGGAGGGAAGGAAGGTGCTGGTATGGGGCGGGGCGCGGTGTGGTATGGAGGGTGGCGGAGGAATAGGGAGCGGGGTGGAATGGGGCGTCGATGGGGAGGGGGGGCAGAATGATGAGGCGAGGGGGAGTGGAGCGCGAGGAATATCGAGGGGTGTGCGCTGGGGGGGAGAAGGAGGGATTCCATTTGCTTGTCATGACAGATCCAAAAGAGAATTGAAGGCTACCATCTTCGGCACGGGTATGTCATGAAATGTAATTTGTCAGATACTGCATATGCGTATCTGCTCACGACTGCAAGCGTACTATTCGCAAGGCCGTCTGAAGTTCGGACAGACGGACACGGGGGCCACTGTTATCGACGATTACTTGGAGCTCTCGTACAAAGCGCTGAGGGGCACCATCATCAGTTCGGAGGCGCCTCCAGGGGTGGGAGAAACAAATTCGCAACTACATCGGCGATCTGGCTGGACGGGAAGCAGATGGAGGTGATGGATCGGGGGCCTTGAAACGGAGGTCAGTGCAAACAGGGGCCAGCCAGGGCGCCGGATGCAGGATCCTGGAGGGTTTGCAGGATCTTGCAAAGCCCGACTGACCGGGGCTTGGGTTGACCCGGGCCAGCAGACCCCCGACTGGAGGTCGAGGCTGACATGGATGAGGGCTAGGCAAGGCCTGTGCTGGCCCGCCGCTCTGCGCTCGATCGGGAAGTTCTCTCTGCACACATCGCTCTTACAGCAGTGCCTCGGAGTTCTGCCATGGCATCGCCCAGTTGCCTTGGCATTCCTCGGACGTGCGCAGCTCGTCTTGGCTAGGACCATCGAGGAGCACGTCGGGCCATCCTGCGAGGAAGAAGCGTAGCACGCACGGAGCCGGAACAAAATGCTAAAATGGATGTTTCGGGACGCATGCCGGCGGTGGCACTGGGGCCTTCGGTGGAGCTCCCTATGGGGCCACGAAGCGTTGTACTGGGTGTTTGAAAATGCAAAATTGGATGTTTCGGGACGCATGCGGACGGCACTGGCGCCTGTGGTGGAGCTCCCCATGGGGCCACGAAGCGCTGCCACACTGGGTGGGTGAAATTAGCAAATTTGATGTTTCGGGACACATGGTGACGGTGGCGCTGGGGCCTTCGGTGGAGCTGTCTATTGGGGGCCACGAAACGTTGTACTGGGTGGGTGAAGATGCTAAATTGGATGGTTCGGGACGCATGTGGACGGTGGCACTGGGGCCTTCGGTGGAGCTCCCTATGGGGCCACGAAACGTTGTATCGGGTGGGTGGGAATGCCAAATGAGATGTTTAGGGACGCGTGCGGACGGTGGCATTGGGGCCTTCGGTGGAGCTCCCTATGGGGCCACGAAACGTTGTACTGGGCGGGTGCAACTTCACAATTTGGCATTTCTGGACGCATGCGGATGGTGGCATTGGGGCCTTCGGAGGAGCTCCCTATGGGACTGCGAAACATTGTATTGGGTGGGTGAGAATGCCAAATGAGATGTTTCGGGACGCGTGCGGGCGGTGGCATTCGGGCCTTCGGTGGAGCTCCCTATGGGGCCACGAAACGTTTTACTGGGTGGGCGCAACTTCACAATTTGGCATTTCTGGACGCATGCGGACGGTGGCATTGGGGCTTTCGGAGGATGGGACTGCGAAACGTTGTGTTGGGTGTGTGGAAATGCTAAATTGGATGGTTCGCGACGCATGCGGGCGGTGGCACTGGGGTTTTCGGTGGAGCTCCCTGTGGGGTCACGAAACGTTGTATTGGGTGGGTGAGAATGCCAAATGAAATGTTTCGGGACGCGTGCGGACGGTGGCATTGGGGCTTTCGGTGGAGCTCCCTATTGGGGCCACGAAACGTTGTACTGGGCGGGTGCCCTTCGGAGGAGTTCCCTATGGGACTGCGAAGCGTTGTGCTGGGTGGGCGAAAATGCCAAATTTGATGTTTCGGGGGGCATGCGGACGGTGGCATTGGGGCCTTCGGTGGAGTTCCCCATTGGGTCACGAAGCGTTGTATTGGGTCGGTGGGAATACAACATTGGATGTTGCGGGGCGCGTGCGGACGGTGGCATTGGGGCCTTCGGTCGAGCTCCCGATGGGGCCACGAAGCGCTGTACTGGGTGGGTGAAGGTGCCAAATTGGATGGTTCTGGGCGCATGCTGGCGGTGGCGCTGGGGCCTTCGGAGGAGCTCCCTATGAGGCCACGAAATGCTTTACTGGGTGGGTGCAAAATGCCAAATTTGATGTTTCGGGACGCATGTGGATGGTGGCACTGGGGCTTTCGGTGGAACTCCTTATGGGGCCACGAAGCTTTGTACTTGGTTGATGAACTTGCCAAATTGGATGTTTCGGGACGCATGCGGACGGTGGCAGTGGCGCCTTCGGTGGAGCTTTTTATGGGTCCACGAAGCGCTATACTGCGTGGGCGAAACGCGGGGAGGAGGGAAGAGGGGGAGGAGGGGGAGGAGGATGGAGGGAGTGAGGAACGCGGGGCGCTGTCTCTTCAAAACGAGGGCCCAACACCCAACACCACAGGATGGTTAGGAAAAAGTATATGCAAACATATTCTAAACTATTCAACGAATCGTCCCTGTTATATGTTTCCACTATTTTTGAATATCCCGCCTGTAGAGGGACAGGCCCGACTTAAGGCAAGGCCTTTGGACGTCCGAGCGATGGCAAGTTGCGTAGAAACCAGAAAGCCCGACCTCCCCGCGACAACGCCGCCCCGAGGGGGGCGAGTGCTCGGGGGGCCATGGGCCCCCTTCCCCCCCCCCCCCCGGAACACAGCAAGACACCCACTTGCGTAGACTGGGCGGAATTCCCCGCCATTGATCATGTCTAGCCATAGCCTGAAGTTCAGGAGCCCACTAATCCTTTAAGAACGAGATTGTGTTCGTTCATCAATGATTGGCGGGATGCGGATCCCACAATCTCATTGCGTCCTGGCGTTGCATTGGGGCCATATTGATAGCACTTCTTGAGCAGATCGGGGCCTTGGAGCTGTGTTATGGTATGTCTCCTTTCGGTCACTTTGGGTCCGACCAGGGGCCATCGCGTGGTCTTTGGAACAGCTCGGGGTCGCTGTGGCTTACGTGTTGTGCCACCTTGCGGTTGCCCTGCGGCCAGCAGGAATCCACTTCAAGGCCCATGTGAGGATTACTGGGCCCTCTTCGGGATCGCACTGAGGGTATTGTCAGGTCGTGTTGCACTTTGAGGCCATCTCGGGGTCGTGAGCCGCTTTGGGATCATTTTGTGTCGGCCAGGCAAATTATGATTTTGCCGATACATCGTCTGTGGGGCCTTTCGTGGCCTTTTGGTGGGCAACTTGGGGCAGCTTGGGGCATCTTCATTGCGAGCCGGTGTCTCTGGCGGGTGCGATATCATGGCGACGTTGACAACGGCTGACACGGTGATGATTGCAGCGATGTTTGTGACGACGATGCTGACGACGTCAATGCAAATGACTGCGCCGATGCTGATCACGAGATGGCGATGATGGTGTCCAGGCGTCGGTGATGTAGGTTTTGGGAGGAGTTGGACATGCGCGCGCGGCCACGGGCGCGAGCGGTCGCATGGTATCATTTGACAAGGTCGTTACCCCCCCTCCCAGCTCGCGCGCAAGGGCGTTCGAATGATTTCGACCTGCGCGCGCGAGAGGCCCGTTGAATCACATGTGCTTGAAACATGTTGAACATCAGCGGCTTTCTTAGCAATTCGGAAGAACGCGCGTGCATATTTGTTGCTGGGAACTGGCATTGCAAAACCAGAAGGGTTTTATATGTGTTCCGGACACTCGGCTTTAGAATTTTTGCGAAACCACACGTGTTTGATACATGTTGGCATGCGCGCGCGACGACGCGTGCGTGCGCAATTCGTCCCATGTTTGCGCAAGGGATTCTTGAACATCTATGAGTCTCGATAAACGAGTAGGCGCTCATAGTGCTTCTGTTGCAGAGGATGTGTGTGGGGGGGGTCGAGCCTGGCCTGGCTTGGGTGGAACGAGTTCATATTTCGTTTGAGCGATGGGGCAAACTCACATGTAAATTGCAGATGACTGGACGTGGGGATAATCCGGGGGGAATCTATGTGGAGCAAGCAACGCGGCGTAACCCGTCCTCACTTAGCATAGAAGTTGGACGGGGCGGCGACGGGGCGGCGACGAGGTGGCGACGAGAGGCAAGTCTGGAGAGAAACAGGCAGGGACAGAGGCCGGCCTGGGGACGAACAGTGCCATATAGAGAGACGAGTCGAGGCGTCGGGCCAGTGCCGCTTTGCCTGCGCCCCCACGCGCACTGGCAGCACAGGCTCGGCGAGCGCGCGCGTGTGCTTCCAACGAAGGATTGCAAAACAAAAAAAACACAGGATTGCAACAACAAAAACAAAAAAAACTCTGCTTCCGGACCCGCTCTCCGAGCCCGCCGCGGCGCCCCGGAGGGCCCCGACGCGCCCCGATTGCCGCGCTCCGGGGCGCGCAGGCCGACGCCCGGGTGGCGGCGCGCCTGCTCTTCTGGGACGACTGCAAGAAGGCCTTCGCCCCGGTCTTCGACTGCCAGGCCCCGCCGCCGCCGCCCCCGCCGCCTCCGACGCCGCGCTCCGAGGGCGGGGCGGGCCGGGGGCCTCGGCGGCCCTCTCCCGCAGGCGGTGCTTTTCCCCCTGCCCCGAGCTCTGCGCCCGAAGGGTTGGCCGCTCAGGAAAAGGGGGAAGTCCTGGGATACACCCAAAGGGGACTAGTCGGATTCACCCCAATCGGGGGTGGACGCTCCCCCGGTATTATCTATCCATATATATATATACACACACACCCGAGTTGCCCCCCCCATTCTATGTATCCCCGAGATCCGCCCGATAGGGGGTCCAGGGAGCTTCACCGAAGGCCCCATTTTTGGCGCACCGCTCACACAGTGCGTGGCCCCATAAGGAGCTCCACCGAAAGCGGTGCCACAGCGCGGAACTCACAATTGCATCTGGTCGGGTCTGCCGCCGGATAATTATTTTGGACGGTACGGGCGCCGTTTGGTCGACTCTCAGGACCGTCCGTCTTGGAGCTCTCTTCTGGCGATTTGAGCCCGTCTCAGGCGGCGGGCGGTCTCCAGGGGGGGGGGGGACATGTGCGAAGGGCGAAAGGGGGGTCGCTAGAAGTTCACAGAAGCGCTACCAGACTGCGAACAGGAGCACGACCATGAAGAGTGATCTTGCGTAGTGTCATGACGTGCATCGTGGGGCCAGCAAAGGGGGCCGCGAGGGCGGCTGGTGTTATGTGCTGCTCTTCTAATGTTACTTCTTGGTGCTAATATCAGTTACACTTGGCAGTATGATTATTCGTTTTCTTCTTCATCTTCTTCTCCGCTTATCCCGCGATTCCCACGTGGACCCCTCGGGCCCTGACCCCCTCAGCTAATGGTGCAGGGAGGGGGCGAGGCGCGCGGAGCGCGAATGGGGGAGCGGGAGAGACTGGAAGCAGACCGCCCTGTGCTCGGCCGCGCCGGCTACCGATACAGCGACTCGTCCTGGAGAGCCCTCGACGCCACGGGTGGATTTTTCTCGAAGTTCTGGTCGGCACGCAACCCAGGAGAGGTCCAGGGAGGAGTACCGATATCTCACGTTCCCCCAGGAGCAGGAGGAGGGCAGAGGAAAGAGTGGGGATGTGGAGGAGAAGCATCAGCAGAAAGAGGATGGCGAGGAGGGGGGAGGGGAGAAGTGACTCTGGAGGAGGAGGAATAAGGTAGCCGCAGAACTGGAAGGGTGATGATGATGATGATGCTGCTGCTGATGATGATGAGGAGGAGGAGGAGGAGGAGGAGGAGGAGGAGGAGCGGTGGGGGATAGGATCCCTGAGGGCGTGACGCCGTTTCGCCAATCGACTTTTGGGGATCAAGCTGGGTAAATGAAGGATCAAGCAGATAATGCGAGCTATGTTCTGACAATTCCATGTGCATCCAGAGATCTCTGAGGAACTTTGGATCAAGTCGTGGCCGCTCCAGCGCGAGGCGCGGGACGGCCAAAGTCGTCAAGCCCTCAACGAGAGGAGGAGTCGGACGGGGCTAGGACGAGGATAAATCCTTTCCAGAGCGTTCCAGAACGCTCAGAGCGTTCCGCAACGCTCAGAGAAGGCCGCGACGCCCGATACATCCTCCAGAACCGCCGTATCTCGGAGATTCTCGATGTATCCTCGCCTGAATTTCTCCTCGTCCTGGCCTCGCCTTGAGGAGGTGAAAAAGCTGCGGGAGGAGGGAGCCGCAGGGGGATGGATCTGCGGAGGAGGCCGGGAAGAGCCCCCCAGCCCCACGCCGTCGTGACTCTTGCCGCGGCGCCTGCCCCAGAGGCCCCAGGGCCTGCTCCCCCCCCCCCCGTGGGACAGTCTCTCCTCGCCCCTCGCTCTGGCGGCTCCGAGGGCCCAGCACGCGGCCGCAGTGGGCAGAATGTGTCTGCCTGTTCGGATGTGTTTGCTCGTCTGGCGCCGCACCGTCGCTGCGCGCGAGGCCGCGATCGCCAGAAAGCGCGCGCACGTGCGTGCGTGCGCGCGTGCGCGCATGCGCGCGCTTGTTTTTTATTATTATTTGTTTTTTTTTTTGTGTGTGTGTGTGTGTGTGTCTGTGTGTATGTATGTGCATTTGCGTGTATGTGTGTGTGTGTGTTTGTGTGTGTGTGCGTTTGTGTGTGTGTGTGTGCGTGTGCGTGTGCGTGTGCGTGTGCGTGTGCGTGTGCGTGTGCGTGTGCGTGTGCGTGTGCGTGTGGGTGTGGGTGTGGGTGTGGGTGTGTGTGTGTGTGTGTGTGTGCGTGATTGTGTGTATGTGTGTGTGCGTGTGCGCGGCGTATACGCCCGCGCTTCGCTGTTCTCTGACCTCCTGTGCCCTCTCTCCGCGCGAAGAGCCGCGACGCCAGAAAGTGTGTGAATGTGTGGTGTTTGTCTGTGAGAGAGAGAGAGAGAGAGAGAGATACAAAAAGAGAGAGAGAGAGAGAGAGAGCGAGCGAGCGTGCGTGCGTGCGTGCGTGCGTGCGTGTGTGTATATATGTGCGTGCGCGTGTAGTCTTCACTGTTTTTTCCCACACGCACCTGCCCGGGCGCATCTGCCCGGGACTGCCTCTGCACCACAGGCTGCTCCTCGCGCCAGCCATCCGCCGCCTGCACGTGCGCTGCCCATAACGGGCGCGCCTCTTTCACGCCCTGGGCGTTTTGCATCCCGCCACTGGCCACGTGCAGAGGGGGGTGGGGGGGAGGAGGGACGGCTTCTTAGAAGCACTCATGTCTCTCAGAAGGCGCGGGCCTCGTCTATAGAAGCAGGGCCAGCGCCTTCTAAGAGGCCGCCTTCTTCCGAGAAGCCTCCCCTCCTAACCCCCTTGCGCGCGCCGCCAACCGCCCTCGGGCTGAGAACAGTCCGCCCTGCGCTCCTGCACCACAGCGGGCTGGGCTCACCACGTGAGCGCCGCACGAAAACGGGGTCGTCTGCGCCGACGTTGGCGCGTCGCGCCAACGCCCTCGTCTTCAATGTAGCGGGCCGCGCTGGCGGCCCGCGTGTGCCGCTGCGTAAGGTCGCTACGTCATCTTGCGTAAGACCCGTTTTGTTTCCGTGGTCCCATACGCCGTCCATCCACCATATGAGGCGTTCCAGAATGGGCCTTGCCTTCGAGGATCGAAGGAGATGTCATCCCTTCCTCGGCGGAAGGCGGCGGAAGGTCGGCGGAAGTAATGCGAGGCTGCCTTCGCTGGCGGAAGCCAGCGGAAGCCGGCGGAAGGGTATCGGGGTCGATTCTGGGCAGTCGTATTTCAGCAAGCGCAGGTATTTCAGCAGCCGCAGGTATTTCAGCAAGCGCAGGTCGCCGCTTGCGCTGGCGGGCCCTCCAGAGCCCTCGCTGTCCCTCCTCGTCGAGAGGGGATGGGCTCGGGGGGTTCTCGCAACGAGCTAGAGGTGTTCGCCCCCAACCTTCGACGGAGGGGCGCTCGGGGGGACATTCGCCCTCGACCCTCAGATCAGAAGGGGACACACACACAGACATTTATGTATATGTACATATGTGCATATCTGTATATCATCGTTTCAATCCGCAGGAAAATGCGGAAAGTTGTGGAAATTGGAAATGGTCGTCGACCCCCCACGAAAAGATGAGAAGTGGGGGGGAGGAGATGAAGCTCCAGACGAACACATGCCGACTTCGGTGGACCCTGGGACCCGTGTCTATTTCTTCGCCTGTCCTTGGGGTCCCTCCGCTGCAGGACCGAGGAGCCCTCGACCCTCGAGGGCCGGGGGCCCTCGACCTCCGCAGGGCGCGGGGCGCGGGGGGGCGTGCCGGCGCGGCCTCCTGCGGGGCGGCCCCCTCCGCGCAGGCCCCCAGCGGGGGCGGCAGGCGCTCGTCGAGGGCCCCCCCCCCCTCGGGCCTGCTCGGCCTCTCCGCCGCGCCTCCGCCCGGGGTCGCCCGGGCCTCGTGCCGCTGCTCCTCCTCTTCGAGCAGGGCATGGGCCACAGAACTGCTGGACCCCGAGACGGATTCCCACCCCTCGAATATGTATATATAGATATATATATATATATATATATATACATCTATATATATATATATATATATATATATATATATATTCTATATATATATATACACGACGACTGCGCCGACTTGTCGTACATCTACTGGGGACTCGAAGCGCTTCTCTCGTCGGGGGCAAAGCAATTCTGCAGTCGATCCCCTGCTCGACCTCTGCTGCTCCTCCTCCTCCCCCACTGCGGCGGGTTCGTGCGGTGCCCACGCGGCGGCGACCCCGAGGCGGGCGTGCCGGGTGGAGCGCCGCCGGCGGCCTGCAGTCGGCCGGCAGCGAGCGATCTTCCGCGCGAGCGAACGCCCGCGATCCCTCGAGGCTTAAGGATCCACGCGGTGTCAGAAACCACCGCGCGAGTCGTCGCAGCCTGAACCCGCCGTGCTCCTCCCCACCCTCGCCTTCCGCCCGGATCTTCCGTCTGGTGGGGTGTTGTATCGCGTCATCCGCCTGGCCCTGAGGAGGGTGGGGATGGAGGGCTGGAAGGAGGGAGGAGGGTGAGGAGAAGGGGGATAGAGGAGTGGAAGAAGGGGAGAAGGCCGTGCTGTCGCGAGCGCCCGAGGCCAAGAAGACCAAGGGCAGCCCGAGCTTCTCCGACTTCTACAGCACCCTCTACAAGCTGCAACGGCTGGCGCTGGCCTCTCCCGAGGACGCGACGGGCCCCGTTGGGACACGGGGCTTCGCGCTCCAGCCGGTGAGCTCGGCGGGGCCCCGAGCGGGACGGACCCCGCAGGCCGCAGCTCTGCGGGCAGGCAAGGAGGGGGGCACGCAGTTGCTGCAGGGATGCGACGGGTTGTTCGTGGAGCACTGCTTTCCGTCTCGCGGTGGTCTGGCGCTGTGCCTCCTGGGGCGGACCATGGGCCGGCCGCCTCGGAAATGTACCCCGACGAGCATGCCGCTTGGGCGGCTCAGCAGTGAGCGCCCTCCTGCGATGGGCTCTATCCAGGCGCGCATGGCCTCTCGAGGCAGGCGTCCTTGGCTGGAGAGTGGCACGACCTTGCCGTTCGCCGAGCAGCGCATGTTGGCAGGGTCATCCGTTCTTTTCCAGTGGCGTTTGGCTCAGGACAACTGTGCTTCTCGTGTGCGGGACTGTTTGGCGCGTCCTTTAGCACAACTTGGGACAGCGAGGGGATCCGTGATTCCATAGGCTCATTGCGCAACCAATCGCGACGGCATAGGTTCTCCGCTAGGGTAAGAAGGAGGAACCGACTGACGAACAGAATGTTGAGGACGAAAATGCTGATGAAGTTAAGGACAACAGCTCGAGGACGAGGAGGACGATGATGATGATGAGCTTAAGGATGATGATCAACTCGAGCATCGAGATGATGGGAACGTGGAGCAGAAGTACGAGTACGTGGAGGACGGATCCAGCGACTCGTTACCAGCGGCTCAGAACAGTGCAATGATCCTCGAACGGTTCCAAAGCCAAGAACGATCGAGACGACGAGGGCGAAGACCACGGTGAGGACGGGGAGTAGGAGGATGAGGAAGAGGAGGGAGGAGAGGGAGGAGGGCGATGAGAGAGAGAGAGAAGGACGAGGGAGAAACCCCCGTCTTCTTCGGGTGGAGTCCTTTCCCGAGTCTCCACCAGCTCTGGCACTTGTGAGGGTGAGCGAGAGGCTTGCACGGATCCCCCAGCGTTGCAGGAGAGTTCAGGTGTGAACGACGGATTCGGTGTCGGAAACCAGGGTGCAGGTCGTCACGACACGAACCTGCCGTAGGCGGGCAGAGCCAGATGGCGAGGACGACGACGATGAGGATGCGGAGGGTGAGGATCAGGAGGAGGAGGAGGTGGAGGTGGAGGTGGAGGAGGAGAAGGAGGATGAGAGGGAGGAGGAGAGGACGCTTAGGCTCCGGAGGATGAGGATGCTGGTGATGAAGGCGCGGCGGAAAGATGATTAGGATGACGATCAGGGGGATGCGGATCATGAGGGGGATGTTGATGAGGCTGTGGATCATGACGAGGAACAGGAGGATGAGGATGAGGCATCCCAAGATATCTACACCTCAATCTGCCACTGATCGGATGGAGGGGATGAGAATGCGGACGATGAGAAGGTAGATGTTGACGATGGCGATGACCACGATGATCACGGAAGGGTATGAGTGATTGTGATCCTGATATTTGCGGAAGAGGAAGGTGCAGATACAGACACAGATGGTGACGATTACGGTGATCTCGATGGTGAGTGGGATGATGATGCATGTGATGATCGTGATGACGATGACGATGTTGATGACGCTGTTGATGATGACGAAGATGCAGATGATGATCAGGAGGATGAGTATCAGGTGGAGGTTGGTGGCGACGCGCATGATTATACTGGTGGTGGTGATGGTAATGATGATGGTGATGATGATGTTCGTGGTGATGACGAGGAAGTGGCAGATGACAATAAGGATGCGGCGGAGGATGCTGATTATGAGGAGGACGAACAAGGCCTGGATGGAGGATGGACGAGGGAAGCAGGAAACGGGGTGCGGAAGAGAGCATAGGAGAAGGGAGCGAGATGAAACGCTGAATGTTTGCACGGCGCCATTCGTTTCAAGGGAGTGCGCGGCCATGCATTCAATGCGCACTCAATCTGCGGGGGTGCGAGCAACAATGCACAGATACAATGAGGGGTCAATTTCGAATTGATTGACTTTCATCTGGAGTGCTCTCCAGGAGGTGCGCCCGATGTTGCCCCCCGAGGCAGTTACAGCAAACCCTGCCCAACAGCGCACGCGGTCGGTCTGGGACATCGCTTGGTGTTGGTCATCGTACCTAGTTGTTCCTAGCTTCCCCACGTCTCCGAGATCGCCATATAATGATCCGCCCTGTCTGAGACGACTCGGGTATCGCTCGGCCTTTGACCATCAACCTGCTCTGCTGGCTGCTCAGCTACGCCCTGATCGTACACATGTGATCTGACCACGCGGCAAATTTCAACATCGCGAGCAATCAAAAGCGGTACCCCGAAAACCATCTTCTTGGGTCATTCTTCGAGACGGAACAACTTGTGAGGATCCCGGGGCCCGATTGATGCGAACACGCCCGACTCGAAACCCTTGTGGCGCCAGGATTTGATTGCGCCCCCTCAATTGATGCGTTCCCAAAAGGGACGCCGGCGACAGGGGGCTTCTGAGACCGCGGCGTTGCATCTGAGACTTCTATGTGCGAGTGAGAGCGTCGTGCGACGTCCTTGCGGGCCCAGCCGAGCGGACTCGAGGCGTCGGCATCGCCCGTCTCAACAGCCCCTTTCCCTGGTTGTTTCATTCATTGTTTTGCCCATCAGCGCGGGCCCTCGCACCCCCCCTCCCCCCCTCCATGGAGTAGATCTTGGCTGTTTTGGGCGTCCGTTTCAAGCAGGGGGAGTCTCCTCCAGAGGACGCGCGGTTCCGAGCAGCCGCATGAATCAGAGGTCCGAAGCCAGACCCCCCCCTCCCCCCCACCCTTCCATCAAGGGCATAACAAAAACGCCCCTACCCTGGTTTACGAGGCGCTGTGCGCTGAAACTCCTGTGGGCTGACAGGTTAAACCCTGCGTGATGTGCCGCGTCCTGGCGGCTCTAGGCTTTGGGGGTTCCCAGGAGGTTTACAGACCACGCACTTGTAACCCAGGGTAGGGTGGTTTTTTCATCCCTCAATGCCACCCACTGTCGAAACGCCGAAGAAGAGAGCGCTCCCCGGGGTGCCGCTTGGAACCCGCGTGCGCGTGCGCAGGAGAGAGCGGGGCCGTGCCGCGCCGACTCTCGCGCGTGGGCTTCTCCCTTCCCGCGTGTGTATACGGCCGCGCGCGGGCGCCCGCGCCTCCAGTGGGGCATGCCGTGCGGGCGGCCCGCGCAAGCTCGGGTCGGGCATGTCCCCCTACAGGCGGATTTGGGGAGGCAAAATTACAGGTAGTCCAAAAATGCTCAAGAGTAGTGAAAGAATCGTCCCCTGCCAGACCGTGTCTGGACTATTTCTGTATCTATATTCCTCCTGTCGAGGGGCACGCCCGACTTCAGCGTTAAGCCGCCGAGTGAGGGCGCTATACGTCGCCTCGCGCAAGGCCCGTCTGGGCTCGCCCGCTCGCGGGCGGCCCGCGCGGCCCGCGAGGAGCACTGGAGGACCGGCCGGCGGCCGACCTCCGAGCCCTTCCCCGCCGGGGCGCCGCGGCGAGAGAGGCCCCACCTGCCCCGCCCGGCCTCCCCCGCCCCCCCCCCCCCCTCCTCCCGCGCCTCCTCTCGGGGGCGGTCACGAGCGGGATGGTGCCTAGGGCGGGGGGGGTGGATCTCATGGCGGGGGCCATGATCTTTCCCCAGATGTCACGGCGCCTCTTCTCCTTTCAGTGCGCCCCTGGCCCCCCGCCTGGGCCGCGCACGTGCCGCGGGCCATGATTTGCGCCCCCCCCTCCTGGACGCCCCCCTCTTGGCCGCCCCCGATCCCCTCTGGGCCTCCCATCGGCCACGCGCAGAGGGGGGTAGGGGGAGGGGGGAAGGCCCTTCTGGGAAGGCTTCTCAGAGGCACACCTGCTTCTCAGAAGGCGCGGGCCTTGTCTGTAGATGCAGGGCCGGCGCCTTCTACGAAGCGGCCTCCTACGAAGCCTGCCTCCCTCCCCTACCCCCTTGTGCGCGCCGCCAATCCTAGATAGGGTCCAAGTGGATGGGATCGGAGGATCGCTCCGCATCGCCGATGCATCGGCGATGCGGCTCGACGTGGAGCACGACTTGCTTCACGTCGACGTCGCTGATGCATCGCCGACGTCGACGATGCATCGCTGGCGCATCGCGAGTGCATCGCTGATGCATCGCCGATGCATCGCCGATGTATCGGCGATGCGGCGCGATCCTCCGACCCCACCTACTCCGACCCCATCTAGGAAGCCTCTACTCGTCGCCCTTCGGCCCCCTGGCTTCCCTTCAGTTCTCTTCTATTCGGGCGAGGCAAGGACGAGGATAGATCCGTTCCAGAGAGCGTGCCGGAACGCCTTCGGAGCGTTCCCGATCGCTCTGCGGAGGCCGCGGTGCCCGAGACATCCTCTAGAGCTGCCAGATCTCAGAGATGTTCTATTCGTCTTCACCGGATTTGATCCTCGTCTTGGTTTCGTTTCATCTCTTCGTCGGAGGGAAAACATACGGTCACCAGCGCACTCCCTCGGTTGACGCCAGCTGCGTTTCGCTGCACCTGCCGGCGCCCTTCTTCGCGGGCTTGCCGCACCCCAGACCAGATACTGCAGCTGGGGTCCCCGCGGACAAATAATCACTCGATCGGCCCGAAGTATGAGATCGAGGTCGCTGGGGGAGGGTATCCTATAATGTTCTTCGTGATTGTGGTCTTTTGGCCATCGGAGGGTCTCGTGCTTTGGAAGGGTGGTCTTCTGTCCTGGGTCCGACCGTGTGAAGAGGAGAAGGCACCAGTACCGCTACACTTCCCTCGTTCTCGCGTGTCTTGGCCTTTTGGGAGGCCTCCGTCGTCACGGCTGCAGTCGCCCTGAAGTCCTGGTAAGAACGCATCCCAAGAGAGGTCCAGGGAGCAGCGGTATCTGTACCTCTCGGATTCCCCGAGTATGCCGTAGGGGCCCTATGCCAAGACACACCTTGCTTGCCTCCCTGTTTCTTGAGTTGCGATGGCTTTGTTATCGAAAGCGTGATGCTCCCATACCAAAAATCCATGGACGCCCTTGGGCCTCAGGGTTGGGTTTCTCGTGGAAAGTTCCTTCTGGACTGGCCTCCACTGCATACCGATACCGCTGCTCCCCGGCCCTCTCCCGGGGTTTGCACGACACGCACACACGACTCCGACAACAGCATCAACGACGGCATCACTATCCACGACACGCTGTCACAACGACTCCGACAACAAGGATGCCTCTCCCTCCTCCCTCCCCTCTGATGCGTGCGCGGTTCCCTCGTGCCTGGCCCTGCGGTCAGGAGCGTCTGCTCCGCGCGTCGCGCCGCTGGCTCTGGCCCACCACGTCTCGGCGCGACACGCCTTCTCCTCCCGCCTCCTCCTTCCTCCTCCTCCTCCTCCTCCTTCCTCCTCCTCCTCCCCAGCCTCCTCCTCCTCCTCCTCCTTCCTCCTCCTCCTCCTCCTCCTCCTCCCTCCTCCTCCTCCTCTCCTCCTCCTCCTCCTCCTCCTCCTCCTTCTCCTCCTCTTCCTCCTCCTCCTCCCTCCTCCTCCTCCCCAGCCTCCTCCTCCTCCTCCTCTCCTCCTCTCCCTCCTCCTCCTCCTCCTCCCTCCTCCTCCTCTCCTTCCTCCTCCTCCTTCCTCTCCAGCCTCCTCCTCCTCTCTCCTTCCTCCTCCTCCTCCTCCTCCTCCTCCTCCTCCTCCTCCTCCTCCTCCCCCTCCCCAGCCTCTCCCCAGCTCCGAGGCCGCAGCGCCCCGGGCCTCCCCGGGCCTCCCCCTCCCGCGGGGCGGCGCGGCACGCCACCGACGCCGCCCGCGGAGCGCAGCGTGCCGCTGAGGCCGCCGCCGCGGCGCGCCGGGCGAGAGCTCCGAACGCATGGAGACATCTCGGAAGCCTCGCACTCCCTCGAGGGGTGTGTGGTTCATCACCCCCCCCCGCCCCCCGAGAGCTCCGAACACGTGGAGACACCTCGGGAGCCTCGCACTCCCTCGAGGGGTGTGTGGTTCATCACTCCCCCCGCCCCCCGAGAGCTCCGAACGCATGGAGACATCTCGGAAGCCTCGCACTCCCTCGAGGGGGATGCTGTTCATCCCCCGCCCCGCCCCCCGAGATCGGTGCTGATTTCAGCATGGGCGGCGGCGGGCGGCGGTTGGGGAGTTTCAGAAAAGGATTCCGCCCGCCCAGGCACCCTCCGCTGCCGCACCCTCAATGTCGTCTTGGGGGCTCCTGGGGGGCATCTTGCGCCGCTGGTTGCGAGCTTCTCGTCCAAGCACGCCCGCTCCGCGGCCGCCCGCGCCCCCCGCCTCCCGCGCGGCGGGGCAGCGCGCCACCAGCCGCCGCCGCCGGAGCGGGGCGCGGCGTGCCGCCCGAGGCCGCCGCCGCGGCGCGCTGGGCGAGAGCCCCCGACAGCAGGGCGCGCCGACGGCGGCCTCGTTGCGCCGCGGCCCCCGCGCCTCGGAGGGCCGCCCTTTTGGCCGGGCGGGCGGCGCGGAGGGCTGCGCGGCGCGAGGCGCGAGGCGCGGAGCCCGTCCGCCGGGGAGGGCGGGGGCTGCAGCCCGTCGCGTCCTCTGCAGGGCGCCCTCGCCGCGGAGAGGGAGCGGCTGGCTGTGCCGATGCCGCAGTTCCTCGTCCTGCCGGCGTCTCGCCGGAGCCCCGCGTCCAGACGCACCCCGCCAGAGGTCCAGGGGAGCAGCGGGTGGCGGTCTCGGTACCTTCTTGTCCCGTCCTCGTCCCTTTCCCTCCCGCGACGGAGCCTCACTGCAGTCCGGCACGAGGTATCACATTCGTCTGAGCAGGCCTGCGCGGAACATCGCCGCATCCTGCCCCCCCTTACCCTCACAACTCCGACTACGCCTCCCCGCCCACACCCCCCATGTCGTTCTCCCCTTCCACCCCCCTTCCACCATCGCCTCCCCCTATCGCCTCTGCAATTCACGTTCCCTTTGCCCTTTCCCCCCTCCGGAGTCCTCGAGAGGTCCGCGAAGTAGCGGTATCGTTTTTGTTGTGTCCCCCCGCTTCCGAGGCCCTGGAGCTCTTCTCTGAAGGCGGCAACTGTCCAGGCAGCGGGGGCAGTCCAGGTGCGCTGCGCTCGCAGGGAATGTACCGGGTTCTGGAGCTTCTGAGAGGGCGCCTTGAGGCCTTCTCTCGACGGTTCGAAAGGAGGGGGGAAGTAGGAGGAGGAGGTGGAAGAAGACGAAGAAATGAAGAGGAAGAGAAGGAAGAAGAGAAGGAGCAGGACTATAGGGACCCGATACGATACATCGTCTCGACGGTTCCTTGCTTGAAGTATTGCAGATGCTGGTAGAGCTTCAATTGCTTCTGTCTGTCTCCGAGTCTATTTTCGAAGTCAGAGCGCTCCCATCGGCCACGAGGCTCTGCGCGATGGCGCCAGAGCCTCTCTGCCTGCGTGTGAGGGGCCCACGGAACGGCCCGTTGCGTCCGAGTCTCTCGGGGTCCCTCCTCTCCATTCTCCTCTTTCTTGAGACACCGACTGAAGCACGAGGCTGCACCGACGACACATGCACAAGAAAGAAGAGGAGGAAGAGGAGCAGGAGGAGGAGGAGGAGGAGGACGAGGAGGATGAGGAGGAGGAGGAGGAGGAGGGGAGGAGGAGGAGGAGGAGGAAGAGAGACACAGAGAAAAGAACGTGGCCTGACATCACCAAGGGCGGTGAACATCTGTGGCGTGGTTGGTCCACCGTGGATTTGTTCGTATGAAATCGAAAGGAAGTTGAACCTTGGCCAACCGATCGTTCCCTCCTCAGGCCCAAGGGTCAATCAGAGCCCCTCTTCTCCCTCCCTCCCTCCCTCCCTCCCTCCCTCCTCCTCGTGTCTCCTCCTCTCTCTTTCCTGTCCTCCCCCTTCTCCTCCTCATCCCGTCTCCTCCTCCTCCTCCTCTTCCTCCTCCTCCTCCTCCTCCTCCTCCTCTTCCTTCTCTGCCTCCTCATCCTTCCCGCCCGAACCCAGGTCAAGGAGCTGCAGGAGCCCTCCCCCCCCTTGGCCGCCCGCGCTCGGGGGCCACGGGGCCGGCAGGGCTCTATCTCTCTCTCTCTCTCTCTTTTTTGTTTCTCTCTCTCTCTCTCTCTCTCCCTCTCTCTCTCTGCGGCGTGGGCGTCCCTCTTCTCCCGCTTCCCGCCTGGGGGGAGGAGGAGGATGAGGAGGCGGAGAAGGAGGAGGAGGCTGATGATGATGACGATGATGATGATGATGATGATGATGATGATGATGATGATGATGATGATGATGATGATGATGATGATGATGGTGATGGTGATGGTGATGGTGATGGTGATGATGCTGATGGTGCTGCTGTGATGATGATGTTGATGATGATGATGATGCTGATGCTGATGCTGATGATGATTGATGATGCTGCTGCTGATGATGATGATTGATGATGATGAGACTGATGATGATGCTGATGCTGATGATGATGATGATGATGATGATGATGATGATGATGATGAAGATGATGATGATGATGTGATGATGATGCTGATGCTGATGATGATGATGATGCTGATGATGATGATGATGATGATGATGATGATGATGATGATACTGATGATGATGCTGATGCTGATGATGATGCTGATGATGATGATGCGATGATGATACTGATGCTGATGCTGATGATGATGAGGAGGAGGAGGACGAGGAGGAGGGGACGAAGGAGCAGGAGGAGGAGGAGGAGTATATAGGAGGAGGAGGGGGAGGAGGAGGAGGAGGGGAGGAGGAGGAGGAGAGGAGGAGCAGCAGGAGCAGGAGAAAGAGGAGAGGAGGAGGTGGATGAGGTGGCGGAGGAGGAGGAGGAGGCGGAGGAGGAGAAGGAGGAGGAAATGGATGATGATGATGATGATGATGTTGATGATGATGATGATGATGATGATGATGATGATGATGATGATGATGATGATGATGATGATGATGATGATGATGATGGATGAGGATGAGGATGAGGAGGAGGAGGAGGAGGAGGAGGAGAGGAGGAGGAGGAGGAGGAGGAGGAGGAGGAGGAGGAGAGGAGCGATCAATCGAGGGAGGGAGGGATCAAGAGGGAGGAGGGGAGGAGGGAAAAGGGGAGGAGGAGGAGGAGGAGGAGCAGCAGTTGGAGGAGGAAAAGGAGAAGGAGGAGGAGGAGGAGGAGGAGGAGGAGGAGGAGGATGAGGAGGAAGAGAAGGAGGAGGGGGAGGAGGAGGAGGAGGAGGAGAAGGAGGAGGAGGTGGAGGAGAAGGCGGGACCCTGCCACAGGGGTGTCATGCCGATACGAATTCCTCTCGCCGAGTTCCAGCCTCCAAAACCTCGGGCCCCAGCGACTGGGCCTGGGCCAGCGCGAGCCCGCAGGAGGCGAGCACTTTCGCGAGGGCGGGCCTCCCGAGGCTTTTCGCCAGAGGGGCCGCGGGGCCCGCCCGTTTCGGGGGGCCGAATGGGGGTGCTAGGTCACCGAGGACGCCCTTCCTTTGAGTAGAGCCGAGGGTCTGAGAGCGCCTTCTTCTGAAGGACCACCAAAACGGGGGCGTGAAGGTGGTCAAATGCCTCGCTGGTCAAGCCGACGAAGATGTGCAACCTGCAACCATTATGCGTTATACGGTTTGGCTAGACGCCAGGTGTGGTGCAACCATTCCATCTTGACCGAACATGTTGGCTCCGCCCCCTGACGTCCGTTTGGGGTGTTCTGCAGATTTGACCCCCCTGTCCTACTCAACCCTTCCCCCCCCCTGGGATGGCGCTCCACCGAGAGGACAGCGCTGCGGTCCGTGGGGGCGGAGGCTGTTGGCCCGTCGGGGCAGCACCCCACCGGGCCGCGCCCCCTCTGTTCTGACGCACGGCCTGCGCAGCACGGGCACGAGGGGAGCGAGCCTGCCGCTGGCGCACCAGCGCGCCGCGCCTCCGACGGGGCGACGGGCGCGGCCAAAGCCTGGTGGCCGGTCGCGCGCCACGGGGGCAGGCCCGCGGCAGCCGGGACGGCGCTGCGGCGCCCGAGCTGCTCTGGGCGGCGGCGGCGGCGGGTCTCTGGACTCGAGCCGCCTCGTGGGGGTCGCTTGTCGGCCATGCGCAGAAAGGGGGGGCAGGGGGAGGGGGGAAGGCTTCTTAGAGATACCCCCGCTTCTTCGGCGGTGCGGGCCTCGTCTAGAGATGTCAGGCCAGCGCCTTCTAAGAAGCAGCCTCCTTCTAGGAAGCCCTCCCCCCTACCCCCTTTGTGCGCGCCGCCAAGCCTGGCCAGCCTCTGCCCAGCTGGCCGTAGCCGCTCGCAGTGGCCCAGGAATTACGGGAGAGGCCGCCTCGTCTGCCTCCAGGCGCGGGGTCTCTGCCTCCGCCGCGGTCGCCGTCGTCACTGTTGGGCTGCTGCTGACTGGACCGCTCGATGGGCGCGTGCATCGCGCTGGGCTCGTCCAAGTCGTTCGCCTGGTCATCGCAGAGGTCGTCAAACTCTGGCGGGAACTCGCTAAGGTCGATCACCTTCAACGCTTCCACGCCCATGCTGTCCCGTACCTTCCGCTCGCTCTGCATTGTCTCCTGTAGGCCCGCAACATGTGCTGCCAGCTTGGCGGTATGGAAGCAGCCCTTCAGCGTCTGGATGTTCGTGTGTTGGACCTGGCCAAAATGGCCCCAGTCTCGACCTGCTCATCGGCCTTTCGATTGCCGTCGAGCTGCATCTGCGTGATGCACCCGTCGGCCACTTCCACCTGCCCGAGGGTGGGCCTTGATCTTGATGAGCTGCGCGCTCCCTCCAACTTGTCGACCACGTCCGCCCAGAGTTGAGCCCTCTGTGCCTGGGTCCAGCGGCCAAATGCCAGGTGAGGGCGCAGCGGATCGTGGCCGGGCAGTCGATGTGCAGCTGATAGTCGCCGCCCTCGATCTTGTCCGTCCGCATCTTCACAGCGCAGTCTTCTCCATCTCGCGGAGCTCAGGTGTTGCTTCGGGTGGCACTGCACCCCAAGCTGCTGCCACGAGCGGCCTGTCGGAGTCGTACACGATGACTAGCCAGCCTGCTGTGCGTAGCGTGGGGGGCTTCTGGTCGAAGCCCGAGCCGTCGACGAAGACCAGCGGGCCAGTGCCCGTGGTACAGCGAGCCGCTGGCCCTGCCACAAAGGTGGCAGTTCGTCGGGATGGAGGGATCCTGGCTCCATCACGGGCTTGGCACCAGTAGACGTTCTGGATGAGGACCCGTGAAGCCCTCTGCTGAGGAGGAGGAGGAGGAGGAGGAGGAGGAGGAGGAGGAGGAGGAGGAGGAGGAGGAGGAGGAGAGGGGGGGAGGTACGTCCGACTGGTGGTGCAACAGCTGCAAGTCTGGCCCCACACACAGCGGACCCGTGTCCCAGGCCCACGTGCTGGGGCCCTGGCGGCGCGCCTCCTCTTCTCCGACGGCCCTCCTGCGCTACAGCATCACGAGCTTGCCGACGGAGGTGGGGTAGCGCCGACGCGCGTCGCACGTGCTGCCGCGGGCGCCGTGAATTGCGTGAGGGTCGCCGCCGACGAAGCCCCAGTCGACGCGGCGAAGCGCGAGGTTTTAGAGCCGAGATAGGGGTCCTTCACCAACCTCCGGTGGTGCTGCGCCCGGGCCGTCTTGAGGCCTTTGTGAGGGGGCTGGCCCATATAGCACCTCAACGTACATCCCCCCCGAAATCAAACGCAAGCTTTCCCCGCGATGTGGCGGCGCCCCAGGACACCCAATTGTACGTATTCGCGCCGAACTTGGCGACTGCAAACACAGAAACCTGACCCCGTGGGCCGCGTTTCGCGCGTCGACCAACATCTGAAGCTCGCGTTTGATGTCGAGGAGTGTTGTAGGACATGACGGCCTGCTTCGTGGTGATGGCCAATGGGTCGCGATGCCATCCTTCTCACTGCGACAGGCTGGCACGCCCCAGCGATGCTCCCTCTGGCAGTCGGCCTCGGGACTTGCCTGCGCCGATCCTCAGCTGCTGGATGCGCCTGTGTGGAACGCCCGTGATGGGCCGAGCCCCAGGTGGCCTTGGCAGTCGGCCCTGCCCTGAGGACCCTGGCCCGAGCAGCGCCAGGTTTGAAGAGCTTCGTGAGCTTGCGGCCCGTGCGCCTTGGCCATGCTCTCCCTGGCTGAGGAGACTGCCACTCTCCTGCAGGAGCCAGCCGTAGCGTCGCCTCCCCCAGATCCCGATGGGCGTCGACGAGGTCGGTGTAGCTGAGGTGCCAGCCCTCCTGCTGCACAAGCTCGATCTTGCGCCCCGTGGAGGTGGCCAGAGCCTACGTGTTCTTCTTGCTGACGGGGAGGTTAACCTCAGCAGTCTTGGCGTTGAAGGCCCGATATGCTGACGCCAACTGCGTGCCCACCACGCGGCGCGAGCCTACCACGTGGCCCGACGCGTCGTCCACCACATTGAGGATCCTGACCATCGGAGCCGCCAAGCCCGCCGCTCGCAGCGCCGAGAGTCGCAGCAGGTTGGCCAAGGCTGTGGCCCAGGAGCAGCCAGCGACCACCGTGCCATTGACCGTGATGGCAAGGCTGAGGGTGGTGCCGATAAGCGCGGCGCGGGGCCAGGCAGGTGCAGCACAACGCCTTCAGCAGCCCCTCGTTGAAGTTCCAGGCCTTGGCTGCGATGCGCAGCTCGTCGTGGCCGATGTGCTCGAAGTACTTTGAGAGGTCCTCGCAGAAGGAGCCGGCCTCCGTGTTGGTCTCCATTGCGTGGGCCACGTGCGCGTTGTCTTACCCAGGCGGCTTTGTCACAGACCCTGGCCGAAGATGTGCCCCTGAACGGTTGCTGGTCTATGATTAAGGCATTCCTGACGGGAGCATTCTTTCTGGTTAACTCGCGACCAGAGACTGGCCATCGTCGGCGTGAGGCCACTTGGCCGTTGGCCTCCATCTGGCTTCGGCTGGAAAACCATCACCACCGTCCAGAGCTCGTTGCAGCATGGCGCCCTTTCACGGGCGCTCAGGGTGTCCGCCCGGCGCTGCTGCATCTCCTCGCCCAGCTTCAGCAGCAGCCTCGGGTGAAGGTTAC